AAAACACGTTCGTAACATTAAACCAGCTAATTTAGCACTGACCAGAATTTTGTGATCATTACAGATGAACATATGCTGCATCAGTCAATCTGAACTTGGACAAGAGTTTTGTCGCAATTCAGCTCACCTGGTGTAAAATGTGGTTCTTTGTCTACCTCAAGCTCAGGCTCATGATCATGGTCAGCCTTGTGATAGCTTACTTGGTTCTTCACAGCTTACCTGACATAGTAAAATTCTGTAGTAAGGCAAAAGGCTCAATAATTCTGTCTTTCCTTGGGCAGGTCTCTTGATTTCAGTATTGTGATTTCTACGTCTTTAAATCAGTCTCAAGCTAATAACAAAAATATTTTTTTTATTTCCATTTATCTTTCTATAAGTTTTTCAAAATTCTTCTGTCTCCTACATATGTTACATACTTATTTGACTACCATTGGCTGCAGGAACAAAGCATTTTACCGTAATTAGCTAATGCATGTTCTTACGACTGGAGAAACTGGGGCACAGAAATCTAGGGCCTAGATTGTCAAAAGTATTTAGTGACCTTATTCTCTTTGGTTCAATACCCAAAAGTGACTGTAAAGGAGTGACATATATAATTATTTATAAAAGTGTGGGCCAAGTAATTCAAACAAGAAACAAGTGTAACCATGTCTTAAGTTTAGGCCTTTAGCCTTGAGGACCAGGCATTTCTTTTAGCACTAGATTCATTCACTTACTAATAGTTAAAGCTGTCACAGTTGTTATTCTTCAGTCAAATGGAAAATTTTTATCTTTGTGTTTTAGAAAACTGGGGATTTTTTTTTTTTTTTTTTTTTACAAAACATCTTGTATTTTAAAATATTTCAAAAGTTTTCATTCGGATTAGAACTATGAATCATCTTGAGTTATATAATAAAAGCCTGGATGACTACAGATTTAATGGCTGACTTAAATAGTTCCATCATTCCATTATGATGAAGCATCCATTTTAAATACTGAGGAAATTCAATGTTAGTAGAGTTCTTAAGAGGTTACTGCTTAAAGGCTTTGCAATGAAATTTTTCATCTCAAGGTTAAGTCTCTGTAGTTTGTCAAGTATATATTTTGTCACTCCTAATTTTACTTAAAAGATAGGGTTAACTGCCCTTTATGTGCTTATGTCTTGAGATACACAACCCTAAACATAATTCCAAAATGTTCCTCATTTAACCACCACACCTTAAAAAATGTGTGTCCTATCTCTTACATAAAATATTCATAACAATATAAATCATGTAAATTAAAGAAGCATACGTAAAAGAAATGTTAAGAAGGATAACCTTTGGGTTTTAAAGTATCACAGGAAGCAGAGAAATGGAAAGTCAAAATTTTAAACTGTAGAGGCAGCAAGAGAGAAGCAAGAGGGATCTATTAGTCAAGTAATAATGCAAATTTAACCTGTTGTGAAGCTGGTTTAGGTCAGTTTATGGAGAATCCAAACAAGATAGAATTAAAACAATGCATAAAAATAAGAACCAAGAGGGTACGTCTAATATACAAATATATTATATGTAATGTGTTGTGTGTGTGTGATTGAGAGAGAAAGAGGGAGAGAAAGAATTTCATTTGGCAAGAGTTGAGAATACTTTCAATTTTGTAAACTTTTGTGTTTCAAAATTGGTGACCAGAGGAGAGTTTTAATCATTCCACCTGTGTTGATTGTGTCTGTGAAGTTTTGGGGGGTTGTTTCTCTTTGGATTTGTACTTTTTAAAGCATAGTTACCCAAAGGCTTCCCTTATCTAAGTTAACACTGTATGACTTTGTTGAAAAACTTATCCAACTGATGAGATAAATATTTAGATTTAAGGGTCCGAAAAGATTTCTTCCTGGTTTCTCACATAGCTCTAGTGAATGGAATATAAAGCTGTTTCATGTCTTGCAGCCTTTCAGATTCATAAGGACTATAAATACTGTTTACTCAGTCGATAAATAGCTGGGTTAAATACGGTGTAGAACAAAGAGGACAGGCATCCTTACCTCATTAATATAACATAACTATGTTTTTAATTTCAGTGCAGTGAAGACAAATTAATTTTATGTACCCATTTTTTGTAACTGAAAATGAGATCCAGTTTAGATGTCTGTACTCACATTCACCTGGAGACCACAGACCTTTTGTCTGTGGCTGGTCAAGCTTCTATGTGGTTTATGCCCTCCTGTGGTTATTGATGCTTCTGAAACCTAAGCTCTGAGGTAGTGTTTCCAACTGAGGTATTATTCCTGGGAAAAGTACACTTTACTTAGGATCCACAGTAAATAAAATCTTTAAGCTTTGAAACACTGTCACAAAACAGTATTTTCTACACTACAAACAGGATTAATTAGTGGCCATTTTAGTTTCCAAGTCAAGCTGTTTGTTCCCTGTATGTCTGCCAATTAGAGAGAAAAATATAAGTAGAGTGAGATATGAAGGCAGTTTTATTTTACATTGCACAATCAAAAGGCCTGTAGTTTCCAGATAACATCACAAGGAGAGTTACTCCTAACATCACAAGGTAAGAGTTACTCATAAGCATATATTGTCCATGAATTATTGACTGTATAAAATGTTAAATATATAAAATACAGAAACCAGCCACATTCTTTCAACACATGGCATTAGAAATATCACTGTATGTATTTATTTCAATGTGAGACAAAGTTTGTATCATCCAAGTTAGAGACTAAAATTTGTGGTTTACTTAAATCTAGCATCATATGTGACCGGTCTCCTTATTTTAAAGATGAGGGGCAGCTTTTCTTTCTATCATTTCTCTGTAGCTTGATTTACCTACACATATGGAGGTAGACTAATGTTGCTGCAGTTCCCCATGAGATCTAGGCAACTAGGAAAAACAGCAGATGTTACCTCTCTACTAACAGGTCATTTACTTAGGATAAGTGGGTGGGGAGTCAGTAAAAAAGTGGAGTATAAAAAGCCAAATCCAATTCTTTGGCTTGGCAATCGTATGAGTGCAACTAAGGACAGTATTTGTTTGGTGGCGTGCAGGTTTTTAGCTATATAGATATATACAACTATTTTCTCCTGAAAGCTACCGAATACAAAAAGAATTGTTTGTTCTAAGTGCATATCTTTAAATCCATCTTATGAGAAGTGCTAACCGTTCAGCAAGCCTGTAAGACCCCAGTAAACACACTACTTTTGTCAGTAGCTTTGTAGGGATTGGATAAAGCATAGTTAACCTCTTAAAAGTAGACCATTTTAGCCTAGGTGGATGTTACGGGAAAGAGAATGAATTACATCAATGTAAAAGAACATTTGCAGTTATATGACATTATTATTATACTTTTTTCTAGAAACAGTTGAAGAAATTACTGTTTTAGCAGCTTATTTTTGCACTTGCAATACAGACCTCCGTATATTGTAATAGTAGAGGCATAAAGTAAAGTTTTCTCAGTCAATGAAACAGCATTTTTCATATTCTTTTGGGAAAACAGTAGACTTCAGGAAATATCTCTGACAGTGTTGAAGTACCTGTGTTTTCAAGACAACCTGCTGTATACTTTTAAAATGAGTAGGAATAAAACTCAGTGCCCAGCAGAGCCTTCTTGAATTCTAATAGCTTCAGTAAATGCTTCCTGGTGGAATGGAGAAAGTCTGTCTTAAGTGCTACTGGCTCTACATGCCTTTGTGGCAGGTGGGAATGTTCTCTCTCTTGCTGAACACCAATAGCAGATGAACTGGAAACAGAGAATGAACCCCCTTTTTTTTTTTTTAAGGTTTTTTCATTCTTTTTACTGAATGAGCAGTTTCCTTTGATTTGTGTTTCCACTTTGCAACAAGATTTCCAGGTGGGTTGTTATGGTGGCATATGTGATAATATACCACTTCAGGTGAGACTATGTAAGGCTTTCTATCACTTTGAAGACAGAATACAGGATGAGTTCACCACTACATTTCAGCAGCTTTGTGCTGGCATGTTGGCACAAAGCAGCCATGAACCTGACTTAACAGACTAGTTAAATTGGTTTTATGGCCTCTTTGTGCTGCGGGAATATTGCAAAACAGCTGGAGTGCGTTGCTGATATATCTGGTCCTAAATTGCTTACATGGTATGAAATAGGATTGTACAACTGTCCCATGGAGATTCTTCTCAAAACTACATTCATCTAGTGACACTGTGCCAGCAAAGCTGTGCTTTTAATGAAGGCACGTGGTATGTATCACATCAGGCAGCTTTCATGTTAGTTTGACCTGATGTACTTCACAAGGGTCATTAATCTCATTTCAGTTAAAAGAATAACTGCCTGAGACATCAGATGCATCTATAAAAGTACAGTACAGGTCACACATGTACTTTCAAAGTGAAGTTCCTGCACACTGCTTAAAATCATAAAACATATATAGCACACATTTAATGCCTTTTGAATTAAGTGAAGGAGAAAGATATATCCTGATAGTAGCTTTACTGCATCCCAACAGTTAGGTAAGGGACTTGTCCATGCTACTGTATACCCAGGAGCAATCCTAATTTTCCTGAAATTAATCAATTTCTCGCCATAGTTTCTGGATGCTTGAGGTAGGGTTCTAGGTCTTTATTGAACCTCACTTGCATTCCTTCCCTTATATAATATCACAACCAGAGTTTATAATAGATTTTCCTCAAGTTTTCTCTTTTGCAACTGACCTTTTTTAACATATTCTATCTTCAGCTGCTCACCACAAGGATTGCTCGTATGTTCTATGGACCTAGGATTCTCAGGGTCTGCACACACACACTCTCTCCCCTCCCCACATAGAATTGTGAGCTGAGGCTTCAGATTACTGGGTAATTTCCTGAATACTGAATCAATAAATAACATTGCCTTTAACACAGCAATGTCAATGTAAAGCCAGTGCAGGGACTATGTTTACGTAGGTAACTCTCAAGCAACTTCATACTTAGTGACTGTCAGGACAAACCTTTTTTGTGTCATATTTCACAAACACTGCTGAGGGTCATGCACTCAAGGCACACATTTGTGACAGATGAGCATCAGCTATTCATCTCCTGCTTCCTAATGCAGTGCTTCCACTTAGTTCTGACTTTCATCTGGTATTTGAGGGGAGTTTGAGCCAGAGATGAGCTGTCCTGCTGTAGGGAAAAGATGAGCTTTTCCAACTCAACACTAGAAGAAAAAGCAATGCTGAAGATTAATTGAATCAATTAGAGGAAAATACAATATGCTGACTTAAGTGCATAAACAACTGGTTTACTATTGTTGCCCTATGTACTTATATTTAATTACCCTCAGCTCAAGTCAGCATAAATCTTCAAGCACTACACATTATGAAATGCTAATTGGTAAATGGGTGTTGCACTGAACGTTGGTTTCAGTTTACAAACTAATTGAAGATTTTATTCCTGTCAATTTTATTGCAGCAATCCAATCTTGAGTTGAGGACAATGTAAATTTCTTTAACAAGGTCCAAATCCTCCACCCCAAAAGTCACATTGTGTAGGCCAGATGGAGATGGTATTAAGAAAATAAAATATTTGTACAAACAAATAGTGGTTTGGGTGGAAATAAATTAGTCAACTTTTAATGTTTTCAGAGACTCTGTAACTGTAGCAAGACCTTCCAAGTGTTTGTTATATATCATTAATTAATGGATTCTTACAACTGAAAAGTGTCACACAGATTTTGTGAATTTATAGGGCCAAGTGATGGTACACCTATGTTGCACAGTACATTTTGCTAGTAACATTAACACTTAAAACACTACTGTGAATTCATATTCTGTCTGAACTTAGGAGAAAAAATTTATGCTGATAAACTTCTATTCTGAAACTTTAAACATAAAAGCAAATCTGAATAATTTACCATTGCAGAAGAAAAAAAGTTTTTAATCTGGAGTGACTTTTTGATCAAATCGTGATGTTTAGCTTTATCCTGTGTGTAGTTTACAGAAATTCACAGAAGGCTGTCCATTCACACAGCTAAGTACTGATTTATAGTAGCATATTTTTAAAGGTAGACCAAGAAGCAGGAACAATTGTGGATAATTCATGGCAAGCAAAGCAACAGAGCAAATCACTAACCACAGTTAAGGTTTTCTAGGGTGCAAAATGCCAGCTTTAGGAATTACCTTTCTCAGCTTGAAAACCTGAGCTAGTATCAAAAACCAAAGAGATCTGTCAGTAGAGAGAGATGTTGAGGAAAATTACCCTCAGCTGCTATCCTAGGAGCATATTTACTCCCATTAACATCACTTATTTTTATATTAAGCATGTGCTTTTTAAATGGCACTCACTAGCTTTTGTTTGTTTTTCAATTAAATGAATTGGTTGACTGCTTGACGCCTGACATACATACATAATTTATGGTGAGTTTTCGAAGTGCTTGTTTTTCTTTTCATGTTACAGAAGCATTCTCAAGACTATTGTTTCAAAAGATGGCTTCCAGGGAAATAGTGTCATTCTAACGATCCCTAAGTTTTGCAGGATCTTCATATTCTGAACCAACAAGCAAGTGAAATATTAGAAAGCACTGGGCAGTAAGGAAGTGCAAACTTAATTATTTCTCAGCTTTTAAACCCCTATGATGTCATTTGCTTTTCTAAACCTGTACTTGGGAGCTTAGCACTGGTTTCTTACTTTAAAGGGAAAATAATTAATTTTAATGCCTGTTTCGATTAATTAGAAATTAATATAATTATTATATAATTATCCTATATACTTATATACTATAATATATTATTATATAATTAAACCATTATCTTTATATGATCTGAATGCTTTCGCATTCACCAACTGCGCATGTAACTATTTCCTCAAAACTTCAAATTCATTTTAAATGTATTCTTCACAGAAGGTGTCTGCATTATTGCTCTTTCATATGTAATATGTTAACACTGGACTTTAAAAAGACATACACACTTATTATATATCATGCAATAATGTAGTTATTAATTTATTTAACTATTTTAGTATCTAATATATATTTGTTCAGAGGAGAACATAGACAAAATGTCTAGCAGAAGAAACTTTATTGTATTACATATCTGCTTGAAAATTAAGTACAGTATGAAAGTTAGTACATTTTCTGCTGATCTCAGTCAAGTTCCTGTGGAATAGTTGAAGTCCAAAAGGGTTTACAGTTAAAAAATAGGTTACCCTATTCATTAGCAGGTCTTGTTGAATTCAAAATTCAACAACCTTGTAAAACTTAAGGATCTGAAAGAAGAAACCTACTGTAATATTAGCTACCTAATTCTGTCTAGGAAATGTCTGTCCATTGGCAAAATTTTGCAGTTCACTTACGTAAGCTAACATACCCATTCAAGAAAGCAAGTCTCAATGTGATAGTAAAACTAAACTTTCCATTTGTTTGGATGGATTGTGGGGTTTTTTTCTAGTTAAAGCAGGAGTCTGAATCTCCACTCACCTGGAGTTTGTTTAGTATTTGGAACTGAAGTTTGCTTCAAGCCTGAAAATAATTATGTTGGCTAAATCATTGCTGTGATCTATTAAAATTTCTGTAATACCTTAAGCAAAGTAATTTTTCTTGTGCATGTACAACCTCTTTGCTATCAGATTGTTTCAAAAATATGAGGGAGGAAGATATTCTTCATTTTAGTAATAAAGGCTGCAAAAAGATTAGAGATGGATTAGTTATATAGAAATTCATTTTCAAAAAATATTTATGTGAATAACGTGTTAATATTTTTGCTAGTGAATAATAACAGATTTTTGAGTCTCCAAATACACCCATGGTTTTTTTGAACTCATGGAAAATGAACATTCAATTATAAAACAGATCAAAACAAAAATAAGATAGACCACTGTCTGTATAAGGTCCAGATTGGTTTATATTCACTGACTGTACACATAACTATATTTTCTCAAAACTACAAATTATTTTTAAATGCATTCTTCCCGGAAGGTAATGTTATTATTGCTCTTTCATATCTGATATGTTTACACTCCACTCTAAAAAATTAATTAAAATAAATAAAATTTTAAACAGTTAAATTTTAAACCATCAACTGTTGTATTTATATGTATTTTCACTTCTTGTCATTTACCTGTCAGGAAATCTGTACTGACAAGCTCTTCACATGCAGTCCATACAGTGCATGTAGATACAGGAGACTTCCAGTATTGCCTTGAGACACACCACATAAGCATAAATTTGTCTAGCTGAAAATATTTAATAAGGGGAAAAAAGACGAAGAAAGTACGTACAGAAGCAGAGTTCTTCCCAAAAGCCTAGTCAAGAGTGCTGGCTATTAACAGGATATTTATTGGTAGTAACGTTTTCAGTCTAAATAATAAGTAATTAGCCAACCACATTAAACAATAATGAGAGCTAGTAATCATTTTTTTATCAGCAAAATTAGCCTGGAGTAATTTTAAAACAACATTTAATACAAACAGCTTAATGAATATGTAAAAGGTAAAAGTTATGCACAGAACCAAATGTTCTCTGCAAACCAAAGATAATTACTATGTTTTGACTGTTATGCATGAACTTATACAGAATAGTTCTTTCCCCGCTTCTCATTCTTGTGCATGCATAAATTATGCAAGTTTTCTATGGGTGTCTCCAGAGGAGTCAGTTTTATATGCAGAATGAAATAAACTACTGATTAATTTTGATAACACTCAAGATCTTTGATCTGCATTTTGGATACAAGATCTTTGAGAAGCTTATCTATAGAATAATAATAAATTAAATAATGAAAAACATTTTTACAAGACCATGAGGACAAAGTAGGTCTCTTCTTTCTCTTTGTAGTAATAAATAATATGTGGTGGAGTAGGCTGGATTTATATAAATACTACGGGCATCCTGGACTTAGAGTGCATAGAAGTAACCTATAACCATGGACTTTACCATTGAGATATTTCTGGGTCTTGAAACTGGTGATGAAGTGTGATAGGAACTGATCATAGTAGCACTGCAGTGTTCAGCTCTTTCAGCAGAATCGTATGGAGGTTGGCATGTTATTGAAATGAATAAGCTCACTGCTTAGAAATGTCAGAACAGTTTGGAGTTTGAGGGAGTGAAAATATTTACATTGTGCTTGTAGGTTAATCTACAAATTTTCATCTCGGAGGATACCAAAGTCTTGGTAAAAATGTACTCAGACTGTACAGCACCACTTGAACCTTCAGTGGTAGGAAATGTGGCATTCTGTGCCAAAACTCTGCCCAGAAGAAATGTTGAAGTTGTCAGAAGAAATGGCACCTGTAGCTAAAGCACTTTTCAAGGGCATAATTCCCTGAACCTGTTAGGACAGCCAGTACTGGCGCTTTGAAACATCTGTGGTTGTCCTTGATAGGAACCAGTAAGCACAACCATGTGCAGGGATGTACAGGATGGCATGAGGAAGGGCAAGGCGAAAATGGAAGTGAACTTGGCAAGGGATGCAAAGATTAACAGGACGGGCTTCTACGTGTAGGTTAACCAGAAAACGAAGGTCAAAGAAGGCGTATCTTCCCCGTCCTTTTCCCCCCTGACCCTATAAACAACTCTGGAAAACCAATAAAAATGTATGAGGAGAAGTCTGCTTTAATCTTGGGTGTCAACTTCTTTTCCCACAGCTCTCTAGTAGATAGACAGCAGGATGGGAAATGGGGAAGCGAAGTGCTTCCCTGTAACACTCCGGCCCAGGAGCTGCAAGCTCACAGGCTCAGCCAGGAGTTTTACTTTAAAATATGTATATTAGGTTCTTCAATACCTCAAGATAGTGTCGAGAGAATAAGCCACAGACTTGTTCCCAGGAGGTATTTTTATTGATAATTTAGGGGAGAAAATAAGGAAACTTGTCAAAAGTTCAAAGGGGCACCACACAAGCTAGACAAAATGTTCCACCACAATACCAACCCAACACATACAAATCCACAACACTTAAATCAAAATCCAATCCCTCCACAACACTTAAATTAAAATCCAACCATTACAGATCCAAGCCAGCCAAAGCACCAAGAAAAGAGGAAAGAAAAAGAATCAGAGCAAGAAGAGAGAAGGAAAAAGAGGGAGAGGCAGATTATATAGCTACCACTGGAACCTTTGGAAGCTCTCACACACCCAGGGGGCAGGGCTGGGACATGTGGCAAACGTATGTCCTTGGTTTTATCTGCTCTGGTCCCTATGGCAGTGCCCCCCCAGGCAGCGCCTCTGACCCACTGGCCACTCTGAGGTTCCAGACCAGGGTGAGGGGCAGTGTCCTCCCTGTTCCTGCCAATCTGAGCCTGGCTTAGGGGCTCCAGGAGGTGTGTTATAGTTTTCCCGGGCTATTTGTGACTGACAGCTATTCTAAGGCTTCAAAATGTGAGCCTCAGAGGCCTATCAGGAGAGTTACAATGCCACCTCACCTCCACGAGCTTCGACCCATCCCTTCCACCTGCACACACACACACACACACACTCCCAAGGTGGTTTCAACCCAACAATTACTGCTCTGGTATCCAACATTCCCACCGTAAGAAAAGCTCAGGCTCCTGACCACCTGAGGAACCTGAATGTATATGATTCTGTGGGACCTGATGTGGCGCATTCCAGCATCCTGAGGGAACTGGCTGATGTAGTTGCCAAGCCACTTTCCATGGTATTTGACAAGTCATGGCAGTCAGGTGAAGTCCCAAGGGATTGGAAAAAGGGAAAACGTTGTACCCATCTTTAAAAGGGGTAGAAAGAAGGACCCTGTCAACATAATAGATAATAGAATTGTACAGGTCTTGCCAACCAAAAGCCAAAGCTGATGAAGTCAAATTGTGGCCAGTCAACACATATTTAAGTAGCAAGGGCTTTCAGCAGAAGTGTTTTTAATATTCTCCAATACACCCTCAGCAGACCTAAGCCTCCATTCATTTCTACTCAATCATTTGATTGATGTCAGAGGACTGATTTAAATCAAGTCTTTAGAGAAGACTGTTAATTGACTCACCTCTGCAATTCTCAGTGCTACCAAGATTTTTCCCAAAGATTACCACAGTGCATTTAATGAACACAGAACTTGGCATTGTCAGAATATATTGTACAATCCCTTATTATACTAAATCTTCTAAATTACCTTTTTACTTTGGTAAATAAGAAGCCATTAAAGACAAAATATTTTCAGTATATATG